CCCCCCCCAAACCCTCCAGAGCCCCTCAGCAGGAGAACAGAGTTGACATTGATACACACACACACACACAGGAACACAGACCTACACTCATAGATTACCGTGGGGATGTGTGAGAGCGCACGTCCAAAGCCCCTGGTGCAGAAAACGCATCGGAGTGTGTGTACATATGTCGCTATTGACACATACTGTAAGGCCTGTGTTTGAGAACACACACCCACACACACTCTTGTACAGTTAGCTGGGGGAACATTTCATATTGGCAGGTGCTTATGAGTGCATTAGTACAAGACTGCATACAAAGATGTGCTTCAGCAACATGTGCACATCAGCCTAATGTGTCATATATGAGACGACACACACTTGCTATGACTGTATAACAGATACCTCTACATGTAAAGTGTAAAGATATTTGCTTTAACTCGGTGTTCGACAATTCTCCTTTTCAACGTCTGAAAATTACTATTCTCCACATGCGCTCCAACAGCCCAATGTTACCATAGCAACAGTCACTCTTGACAGTAGTTTCCCATAATGCAAAAATAAATCCCCACAATGAAACCCAGTGTTCTACCTGTCACATGCTAAATTCACTATTTCATTTTGAAGAAACATTTCCTTTGCTTTCCCCGTCTTTTCATTTCAAACTTGAAGTGTAGCTTGTTTGAAACTAGTTAACAGTGTCTTTTCCACAGTACCAATCAGAAACACTGAGCCAGGCTGAAGTGTCTGGAATAACTAACGTTTTGTGTGGGCTTTTGCACATTTCAGTATCTCTTTCCACAAACTATTGTCAGTACCAATCACATCTGATCCCACTAACGGTGGCATTAGAAATAGGAAATATGAATATAAGACGAAGAAGTAGAAAAATGTATCTCTGCTACACAAAATAGTTTTCATTTCCTTTCCTCTAGTCTTTGCTGGTTTGGTTGTGAATTACTGGGCAATTTCATATTTTCAACCCTCTATAAATAACTAAATGACTCTTTAAGTAAAGCTGTTAAAATGGTTATACACCAGACAACTCAGACACTTTATGTGATTTCATACATGCCACTCTCATGGTCTCCCTAGTGCAAACTCACTAGTACATACATACGTCTAAATAATTCATCTTCTACATAGAATTATACACATTTTCTGCCGTTAAACTCTTATTTTTGCCACAATACACTATAAATCACAGTGACATGAAATTAACGTAACAAATAAACCATCAAGAGTGACCCAGCAGCACATCACTAAAGTCAACTCGGCAAAACTCAGAAACCAAACCAAACCAAACCAGCACAGCATCATGAGCACAGGAGCTAACTTTGCAATATCCATGCATCTTTATCTTTAACATCCCGACTTCAGAACTGCTTAATATAAAATAAACAAACTTCAGCCAAAAACATCTCTGCTTTGACACCTGAGTACAGCACCTCTAACAATACCTGTCCCCCAATCAGAGGATGAAGAAGTGTCACAGTGTCAAAACCTTCACAGTATTCCTTGTTAGGGACTCCGGAGGTGAGTTGGAAAACGTACCGTTGATGTTCCAAAGCTCCCAGCGACTCCAGGGCCTCTTGCTCCTGCCTGAGTAAGAGAGCAGAAAGAAGCTTTATTCAAACTACAGCGCACATTTAGATGTTGGAAAGAGAGAGGGAGGGAGATAAAGAGAGAGAGAGAGGGAGAGGGAGAGAGAGAGAGACCCTGCCTGTTGGTGAGGTCACACACAGCCTTCACTATCAAACCTGAAGATACAACTTTAAAATAAAGGAAGGACTCTCGTTGCTCCTGGATAATGTCGGATCATGTATCTTGAATCTATTTATGAAGCATTTTACATAAGCTCCCCCTGTCTTTAAACCCTGCTTCCTTGGAGTATTTGTATATACGCTTTATTAAGAAATGTTTTTGTAATGATTTAGTATCAATTCACGAGTTTTTGTGTAATAACATAAACTCTGTCTGTTACACAGCAGCAGAAATGATCTTTGGTGTGTATATCCTTTATTTAACCAGGTAAAAGACTCAATGAGATTCAAATCTCTTTTCCAAGAGTGACCTGGCCAAGAAGGGCAGCATGTACGAAGTTACAACAGATAAAACCCAGACATGACAGGCAGACAAATACAGCTGTAAAACACAAATAAAATGGCACATTAGCCAGCCAATATGCGAAGTAAAACAAACTATCAAAAATCATTCAAAACTGGCAATATTTAAAACGATTTTAGGATATACGAGCACTCACATCTACCAATGGTGTCGTGTTCTCTGTCCTTTAAGATGGACCTGAATTCCCCCATAGTGATTAAATCTGAGGGTTTCAGCTCCTTCTGTACTTTGTTCCAAGCTGTGGGGGCAGCATATTTAAAAGCTGTTTCACCCAGTTTAGTTCTCACTGTAGGAACCAGCATCTGAATCAAATCTTGGAAGCGCAGGCCATATAGACGATATAAACTGGTATAACTGATTCTCTCCTACAACTTGATTGGATGACTGAAGTTAAGTGGATCTGGGGAAAGTGTTGACTCAATTAAGAGGGAATTAATATAGTTAAGGTGTTTGTGTAATTCAGGAAAGAACCTTAAAGTGGACCTATCATGCTATATTTGAATAATATAGTGTAGGACCATACCTATATAAGGCATATTTATACTTTTTATTTTTCAAAATACCAAACAGATCATGCATTTTAGCCATTCCTCATTTCGCTCAATTTAACACTGTCTTTGCATGGGCTGATTCTGTGAGAACAGCACCATCTACAGGCCTGGCATATGTACTACAGCGTCTCCAGCGCTTTCGAACGGCAATGTCCGTGGCTGT